AGCGCTTTCGGGGCCGCACAGGGTCCCCTTCATCAGACTTAAAGTGGTTCACTTTAAGCCTAATGAAGGGGACCCTGTACGGCCCCGAAAGCGCTTGATTCCATTTTAAGTGACTTCGCAAATAAAATGAAGATTCACTAAAAACTTACGTATTTTGTCGTATTTGGAGTGCTGGTGACATCTATATACAACGATTTTACTTGATACGGTGCCATCCGTAGTCATTGCGAGCACCCATATTTCCACATGGGAAGTCCGGTAAGGTGTGCTACAGGTCCTTGGACATTCGCTTCTACTGTAAGGTCGCATGACTTTAGTCTTCCGAGCAGACTGGAAAACCTGCCGAAAATCGTAAGGTTTTCGGCGGGTTGGTGGCGTGATTGGAAGACGGATGCCGCACGGGCCGGTGTGCACAAGCGCAAGTACGATCTGCCTGTCCAAGGTGGGCAGATCGTATGAAATTTTAATGACCTTACAACCATCGCACAACGAAAGTTGTGCAATGGTTGTAAGGTGTATGGGCAGCCTAACACTTTTGTTCCCAGTACCTAAACCCAAGAACAAAAACATATTTTTACCAGTCCCTAGATGTGGGAGGTTCAGTAGCTTTCTTTTATCAGGCATATTTTTACCTGGTGATGCTGCCAATAACACACGCATTGTTTTAAAGGTAATAACATTCTCTCAGTCAGGAGGAACATCTTTGTCGTCCTTTTGTAGGAAGTGTGTTAAAACTACAGAATACTTGCCCTTCTTCTCCACAGCATAGCAGGAAGGTCTTCTGTATATCACAGATGTGAACTGGGCAGTGCTGATAACACTGCACAGCCAGAGTGCACAGAAACTTGCAAGCTCACTAGACTTCTGTCAGGGTTACTTAGTATTTTGTCTCACTTATTAAATAGACATATAACTAAATATTTTTAATACTATATTTAACAGACCAAAAAGCAAATACGAAAAGCTCACTGTTAAGATTTACATGCCGATGCAACACATCTGGATAAAGAACTGCTAACTGAATGTTTAAAGTATTATTAAACTCTCAAACGCTTTTCAATAATGAGTCCTGCTTACACAAATATACTTTGCCCACCACAGCATTTCTTTACATTTTTGCCCAAACACTTACAATCATAGTGTTTCGGAACAGCTGCTTCCAAGTCAGCTTCCTGTCCAGTACAAGATCACAAAGGACAGTGCAGACTGCAACTTTTCATCTACAGCCTTGTAGAAGGGAAGTAGCTTGATTTGCTGTGTCTGTGGAGACAGACACAGCTTACTAGCACACACAAGGGTGACTGCAGAGCACTCTGCCTAAGAAAGGAGTTACTCTAGAATAGGAAGTCAAGACCAGTGCTCAGGGAACCAGCTTATTGTGCAGGAAACTAGAACTTTTAAACATCAAGAAGCAGCGTTCATTGTAAAATGATTTCATTAGCATTTTAAATAGCTTAAAATCCTTTTGACTTTAATATCACATTAACACCCTCAAACTGCTCCCCCTTACCTGAATCGGGAATCGTTCTTCTCCCTGCCATTCCAGCACAGCTGCATAATTCATTCCATTTCCGGGATCTGTTAAAATCTGCCACCACAGCAGGACTCATAGATCTCAATGAAGAACAAGTTCGGTGACATCGCAGCACTTGTATTCCATTGATTACTTTCTCCACAATCATAATGGAAACTCCTTACCTTGGTACAGACTTTGGGCTGGGGAAATAGCTTGCAGGAACCTGAGCAAGCTTTGCAGACTCAAACACAATAAAAAAAACAAATAAATGCAAATTGTTTTCTTTGATTATTGCTTGAATGTATTCATTTTTGTGGTTTATGCCTTTAAAGTGTAGGCACCAAAAGGTGTTTGCACATTACTTGCCCACTCCCTCCTGTCGCCTTGCATTTATATTTGCCCATTACAAAAAAGTGCTGCCTCAGTAGGAATAAAAAGGTAGGAAAGATCAGACAAGCTCCATTATTATTACCACAACTGCCATTCAGATTGTTCTCCCGCTTCTAGCTGCTTACACCTGATAACTGTTATCATCTTAGTGAGAGTCACTTTAAGGCCTCATTCACACGAGAAAAAGGCTGGCAGTAAAGCTCTGTGCACGACCGTATCGAGGCAGCTTCCGGGAAGGACAGGTGCTGCGTGTGATTAGTACGCAGCTCCTGTCCTTCACTATGGGAGTAAGCCGCCCTACGCTCACCCCAAGTGAAGGTCCGAACGGGTGTAGGTGTCCCGGCTCAAACAGGATCCATCCTGTCAGCGTTCCAGTACAGACACCCGCACAGGGCGGGTGAGCGTAGGGCAGTATACTCCCATAGAGAAGGACAGGGGCTGCGTACTAATCATACGCAGCACCTGTCCTTCCCGGTAGATGCCCGATACGGCCGGAGCTGTACGTGCCGGCCTTTTCTCGTGATAATGAGGCCTAAAGCACATCTAAACTAATCAAACAAAAACACAATATACTGCAGCTTACCAAATCTTAGATGCAGTGGCTGCATTAGTTTTATTTTTTTAGGCATTGTTTACCTTTATTTTCACCTGGTAATCTTGCCAAAAAAAAACAAAAACCCACTTCCTGTCCCTTTTGAGCTTACACTCACTTTTCTACTATTGAGGGAGGCCATGTTTTTTTTAATGATAGTTGCTAATGTTTTCAGAAACTTTTGCCCTTACAAACAACTTACCAGGGGAGGGCAGCAGGCAGCAAAAACTCCGCTTCATTCATTCCTCCACTGGGTGCCACCATTGCAAACAGTCAGGCATCACTGCTTTCTGCAGCAGCAGACATACAGTATGTCAGAGTCCAGGGGGAGTGATAGAGATGGACATGAGGACTCACCTTTGGACTTTTGACAGAAAGTCTAAATTTGCATATCTGTAACCGCTCTCTTTATAAAGATTGGATGTCATGCTGATCCTCTTGCTTCCAAATTCAGCATTAGTAAATCAATACAAAAACATTAAAAAAATTCCAACACGTCTTTATTTTCCTAAATTTCCTACTTGGAAATGATCAGCGCACTCTGTTTTGTTAAAAAACCCCCAACAAAACTGATATTCTTGTTAAGGAACATGAAACAGCTACAATAATTTGAACACATGTGCAAAGCTTTTTCATATGTCATAAGAAAAAAGGAGTTGAAATAAAAACATGTCAGCCATTGTTCACAATAAATAAAACATCTAGTTGAAAGAATGTAATGATCATGTCTTGCTGCAACAAGCCACTTGTAGATGTCATTTATAGTAAGGGAAACAAAATTTAACAGAGAATAGTTCCCTTGTGTTGTGCATTCATTCACAATGCTTTTTTCGTGACTTTGACTTTAAGTAGATCCGATCAGCGATCCATTCGGCATTTGCACCTGTTTTTATTTGTTGAAACCATTTATAAACCATCTTGATAAATATTAGGTCCGTTTTTTTTTTTTTAGGAATTCGTAAAAAGTAATAAAAATAATACTTTGCAGAAGACATCTCCAAAGAAAGGATGCATTTAATTGACGCACCACTAATGATGCACTATTAGAAAGTACTCTTTAATAAACTATGTTTTACTTTGTATCTTTTTCAGCAGATATTCCATTTGTACATTAAAGTTGGGCTGTCCTTTCTTTGTTTTAGTGTTCAAAACCTTATAAGCTTCCATCTTCTTTTTCTTGTAGAGCTCTCTTGCTTCCTCTCCTTTTCTCCGGTTTTCCTCAGCTTCCTAAAAATGTCCAAGAAGTGAAACGCATGTTATAGGGGAAGCCAAAGCTTGGTGTACAGCATGCTCCCATGAAAGAGATTTGGACATTAACCACCTGTTGTCCGGCCGTTGTAATTAAACGGCCGGACAGCGGCTTCTTGAGGGCGGGTGGGCGTCTTTAGACGTCCTATCCCATTCCGCTCGTGCCAGCTGCTAGGCGCCGCGCACGAACGGGAAATCGTCTTTCTATGTAAACAGCCAGTGATGGCTGTTTACATACAAGCGTTCAGGCGTCTGTAGAGACGCCCGATCGCTTTTAATTGCGTGCGGGTGTGCGCCCCCCCCCCCCCCCTCCGCCGGTGCTGGCGATCCCGGGCTCCGCTGCTCCCGGGTTGGGGCCCGGGACCAGCACAGCAGCTAGCACAGCAGCTCTGCAGCCGGAGATCAAACGGAGCTCAGTACACGAGCTCCGTTTGATCTCCTCCTCTTTGGAATACAGGCAGTGATGTGTATTCCATCACTTCCTGCATTCAGTGTCACTCTACGGTACAGAAACCGGAGAGAAGCTGGTGAAGCAGATCTCTGCTTCATCAGCTTCTCTGGGGGGTCCCTAGGTGGCATAGGGGTCTTAAAGACCCCTGATGTCTCCATAAGGAGGACCGGTCACTGTAAATTGGCTATCACATAGGGAGCTTGTTTGCTCCCTATGTGATAGCAATAATGTTAAGTGGAAAAAAAAAATAAAAAAAAATTAAAGTCACATATCAAAGCAATAATAATACAAAAAATTAAAGTCCCCCGCCCCCACATGCACACATGCGTCGAGTCCGCCTACGTGCGAAAATGACAATTACATACATTGCGCCGCACATGTTACATATCGCCGCGAACGTCTGAGAGCAATAATGATAGGGCCATTAATCACCGATAACACTAAACTGATGAGCGGTAAAAGCTTTTAAAGCGTCGGCTATTGTAGTTTTTCTGCGATTTCGCGGGTGCGCGCAATTTTGAAGCTTGACATGTTTGGTGTCTATTTACCCAACGTGACCCCGTCTTTTATATTTTACCAAAAAATTGGGTAATAAGAAATGTTTTATAACATAACGATGGGAGAACAGTTTTTTTTTCAAAATTTTCGGTACTTTTTTCATTATATAGTAACAAAACAACCCGTAGTGGTGATTGAATACCACCAAAAGAAAGCTCTATCTGTCCCCATAAAAATGGTATAAAATTAATTTCAGTACAGCGTTGCATGACGGAATAAATGTCAAAGTAACGCAGCGCTGAATACTGAAAAATGGCCTGGACAGGAAGGGGGGTATAAACACCCTGGTCAGCAAGTGGTTAACATATGTGTTTGCCTGCACTTTCCGAACGCTGTAGGTTTAGTACATTTTTTGGTCCTGACAAGTTATTTGATGTACAAATAAAGACTTCTCAGCCATATGTATAGCTGGTAAAAAAACTCATAAGCTGCTCTGTGACCTGAAATTCCATCACAGACCTGAGATATTACCGGTATATATTTCCCAAATTTCCGTTCTGGTGGAAACCCTTTAGGCCCCTTTCACAGTTGCAATCTGTTCAGATCCACCTGAAAAATTGACAGGTGGATCTGAAGAGCGTGTACGTGTGAAATGGGCCTAAAGGGTTTCCACCAGGATAGAAATATGGGAAATTACTTTGTCACTTTTTTTTTTACATGAACAAGCTCTTAAGCTGGCCATACACCCTACAATTATCTGCAGATTTTCTATGGTCAGATGGAAAAGGTGGAACAGATTCCTCCATCTATGCTGAGCTGTGTGGATGGAGGAATCTACACCTGGGCCAAGCTTCAGTATCTTGTTAGTCGGCCCCGCTGGCTGTCAAAACACCTGAACAATGCCTGCATTAAATCAGATTGTTCGGGTATTTTGGGAGCTAGCGGGGCCGACTAACAAGATACTGAAGCTTGGCCCAGGTGTAGATTCCTCCATCCACACAGCTCAGCATAGATGGAGGAATCTGTTCCACCTTTTCCATCTGACCATAGAAAATCTGCAGATAATTGTAAGGTGTGTGGGCACCTTCAGGCTGTCACCATTGATAAATCTGATCAGAAGCCCAATGTAACTATGGGCAGGTGGTTCTAATTGGACATGCATTTGGTTACATCTAATAACCCCTCGACTCCCTCTAAAGGTGCCCATAATCATAATCGTGGGAAATCCCGCGATCGTACGATAATCGCAAAGTGTATGGCAGGCATGCAACTTTTTTTACTGTACGGTCGCATGTCTTTTGTCTAAGGAGCATGTTCGAAAACCAGCCGAAAATCTTACGATTTTCGGCTGTTTTGTAGCATGCTCGGGAGACAAATGCCGAACGGGCCAGTGTGCGCACACGCACACTGCACATTCAGCATTGCGGTCATCGGGAAGCCCGCCCCTGAATGGTGCGGGCTTCCGATGATCGCAAGTACGATCTGCCTGTCCAAGATGGGCAGATCGTGCGTTTTTTTAAATTACTTTACAACAATTGCAAGACTAAGGTCTTGCGATGGTTGTAAAGTGTATGGCCACCTTAAGTCTGGACACAAAAAAAAAAATGGAACAGAGTTCTGTTTTGGCAGACCTGATCATGATGGATCGGATGTGAACAGACACATCTGCTTACAGCTGACTGCCCATAGGCCTAACATGGGTCCAAACAGTTCAGCTAAATATGCTGTGTGAATAGGAACACAACAGAGGAGTCTACTCAAATTTAGCTGCAAAAGTACTTTAACCGCTTGAAGACCAGGTGTTTAGACCCCCTTCCCATCCAGGCCATTTTTCAGTATTCAGCGCTGCGGTACTTTGACTGACGTTTATTCCGTCATGCAACGCTGTACTGAAATGAATTTTATACCCTTTTTTGGGGACAGATAGAGCTTTCTTTTGGTGGTATTTAATTACCACTGGGGTTTTTATGTTTTACTATATAATGAAAAATGTTCCGAAAATTTAAAAAAAAAATAGACACCAAACATGTCAAGCCTTAAAATTGCCGGCACCCACAAAATCGCTAAAAACTACCATACCCAAAATTGACCATAGGCGACGCTTTAAAAGCTTTTACCGCTCATCAGTTTAGTGTTATTAGTGACTGATGAGCCTAGAATTATTGCTCTCACTGCGACGTTCACAGCGATATGTAACATGTGCAGCGTAATAGGCGCAATTGTCGTTTTCACAGTTACATGCACCCAACGCATGTTTGCATGCGTGTATATAGGTGTGGGGACGTTAAAGAAATTTTGTTTTTTTATTCTTTTTCATGTGCGACTTTACAAAAATTTTTGCAACTGACTTTTTTTTTACTTAACGGAATTGTTATCACATAGGGGGCTAAGAAACCCCCCTATGTGATAGCAAAGAGATGCGACAGGTCCTCTTTATGGAGACATCAGGGGTCTCCAAGACCCCTAATGTCAGCTAGGGAGACAGCTTCATCAACTTCTCTCCAGCTTCTGAAGCCGGAGAGTGACACAAAAATGCGGAAGCAATGCAATATACATCACTTCCTGCATTCCGACAACAGAGAGGGGATCGGAGGGAGAACGTGTAGTGATCTCCCTCTGATCCTGTCACAGAGCCACCGTGCTTGTCCCGGGCTCGCACCGGGCACACCGGAGCTCGGGACTAGTGGAGGGGGGGGGGG